GGTGGTTCCGCTGGGTGACGGCCGCAGAGCCGTCGCGTTCCTCCCGGGAGCCGGTCACAGCTGAGGCAGCGACGGCGCAGGGCGTTCGTGGGGGTCACGCGCGACCGGGTGCTGAGCTGAGCTCTCCCCTTCGTCCGGCCAGGGAAGACCGTGGTGCACCAGCTCTCGGTGTCGCTGGAGGACCTCTACAACGGCACCACCCGGAAGCTGTCCTTGCAGAAGAACATCATCTGCAGGAAGTGCGGAGGTGAGGCCCGGCCTCGCGCCGGAGGGGCTGGGCGACGGGGCGCCTGGGATCCTGTCCCAGCGCAGGGAGGGAGCTGGGATCAAAGCCTTGTTCCCCTTGTGCTGCGTCCCGGGTGCTCACGGCCTCTGCCACCCCTCGCCCGCAGGCTGCGGGGTCCGGGAGGGCGCCCAGAGGAGATGTCCCAAGTGCCACGGCTCAGGCATGGAAGTCCGTATCCACCAGCTGGGGCCCAGCATGATCCAGCAGATCCAGACAGTGTGCACGCAGTGCCAGGGCCAGGGCGAGTGGATCCGGCCTCGGGACTGCTGCCTCACCTGCAACGGCCGCAAGGTTGTCCGAGAGAAGAAGATCCTCAGCGTCCACCTGGACAAAGGTGAGGTGGTGCTGCCCCAGTGGTGCTGCCCAGGTCTTTGCCTGTGAAACGGCCCCTGGGCGCTGCCCCAGCGTTGGCTGCGTGCTCACGCGGTCCTGGGCGGCAGCCCCAGGCCCTGAGCTCTCCCCGGGCATCCCGCAGGCATGAAGGACGGGCAGAAGATCACGTTCCACGAGGAAGGAGACCAAGTACCCGGCCTGGAGCCCGGGGACATCATCATCGTCTTGGACCAGAAAGAGCACCCTGTTTTCCGGCGCAGCGGTGACGACCTCATCGTCAAGAGGGAGATCAGCCTGGCGGACGCCCTGTGCGGCTGCCGGCAGGTCGTCCGCACCCTGGACAACAGGACCTTGCTCATCGCCTCGCAGCCAGGTGGGGCAGCTGCCGGGGCCCATCAGGACACCTGGGGTCCCTCTCGTCCTGGGCAGGGAGGCACTGGGTTCTGGCGCTGAACCTAGGAGGGAAGCAGGAGCACGGTTAGAGAGCTGGGGAGGTTGGGTCGAGAAACCCCGACGGTCCTGATGGCCGGGAGCGATACAGGCCCGGTGGTTAGAGCTGTGGCGTGCCGAACTCCTGGGTGCTGCTCCCAGCTGCATCCTTGCTCTGTGGGTGTGTGACTCTTCCTGCCTTTTTGCTCCAGATCTGGCCTCCGCACATTGGGGTGGGTTACGGGCAATGTCCCGGGTTACTCTTCAGTGCCCCTGGGCTTGCTGCCGCGGAGGCAGTGCCAGCGGAAGCCAGGGTGATGCCCAGAGGTCCTGGGCAAGAGCAAAGTCCTGCAGAGCGAGATCATGCTAACCTCCCGTCTCAGGTGATGTCATCCGACCCGGGGACCTGAAGTGTGTCCCCAACGAGGGGATGCCTGTGTACAGGAGCCCCTTCCAGAAGGGCAAACTCATCGTGCAGTTCCAGGTAAGGAGCCTGTGGCTCTGTTGTCCGGCTGCTGGCTGATCCTTGTCCCTGCTGCAGCCCCGTGTGCCCGTCCCGTGCCTCCATCCTTTCTCCGTGGTTCCCAGGTGAAGTTCCCCGAGCCCGGTTGGCTCCCCACTGATCGGCTCCGCCAGCTCCAGGCCTTCCTCCCACCCCAGGAGGAGGTGATGGCCACAGAGGACACGGAGGAGGTGGAGCTCAGCGACTACACACCCCACAGCGGCTCGGGCCGACGGCCCTACGCTGGCGAAGCGTACCACGAAGACGACTTTGAGGATGGCTCGCGCCAACACGTCCAGTGCCAGACCTCGTAGCTGGGGGTCCGCAGCCCCCGCGGGTGGCGGCCGGGCTTTGAGGGGCAGGGGAGCAGAGCAGCTCAGCGGGGAAGGGGGCTCGCAGAGCCGTGAAGTTCAGGGATGTACATAGGTCACCTTTCCGACAGCACTTAACCTCTCTCGTGCCCCCGAGGAGCCGGGTGCGGTGCTGCCTCCAGGTTGGGGTGTCCTCTTCCCCCACGGAGGGGTCCCGCTCCGGGGCGAGGGCAGCGCAGGCGGTGGCTGATTCCGGCTCAGCACCGGGC